GAGAGAGGGAGAGAGAGAGAGAGAGAGGGAGAGAGAGAGAGAGAATGACATAGACTTTGCAGGGGCATAGGTTTATCCTAGTCTCAGATCTGTATGGTACATTTTCAGCATAAAGATATATACATACCTCTAAATGCGTGCAGCTCTTTCTTTCTGACCAGAAGGTCTTAACATTTTATAACATAACATATCTCTGTCCCTGGAATTATCACTTTTTAATAGCCTGCATATAGTTGAAATTACAGAATACTAATCCCCGATGGGTCACAAAGAGTTAAAGAACCTGATTTAAGCCAGGTCACCCCTACACTGTCCATTCTGCCCTGTTGTGAAGAAGACAGCCTGGCTGTCAGCAGGATTACTGCAACAGGAGGTGATCAGTCATGTGGAAAAGCTGTGGACCGTCTCGGCCCCCTTTCCAGCTGTTTCCAGCCAAGTTTAACTCTCACTAAGAGACAGAGATAACTTAATGAGACCATTGAAGGTTAAAAACAATTAATGTCTGGGTTGAAGTTCATATGGAGGATAATGTTGACTAGTTGTATAGAACCAAGAACAATGTGATACTGTACAGTGTGATCTTGATTTACCAAATGCAGAACAGATTGCTGGTGATGCTGACACAATCATTTGATTTGTATTGCAGATGCCATTTCTGGATTTTATAGATGCCATAGATGTGATTTTACATCTAACCATTTGATTGTACATTTAGATCCCCCAATGTTTCATTGACAGCTAGAGATGCACTGATCTGCTGTTTTCAGTTCTGATCCAATTCACATACATGTGTAACGATAGCAATACTGATTCCAATTTCTTTTTTTCCTGATTAATACTGTTATTGTTGGTATTACGCTCAAAGCTGTAGTTAACCCGGCAGTGCATTTCTTATTTAAAGAGCAAATAAATAAATTAATTTCCCTAAAAATTCAATAATCCCTAAAGAAATTAATTTGAACTTTGTGCTGGCTTCACATAAAAATAGGTAGCAGCAACAACTGTTAGGTTTTCAAGTTAAATGTTTTAAACTGAAGTGCAAGAATTGTAAGTTATATCATAGCTGTTCAATCTTGTCTGCCAACTTGATGTAGATGATTTGTGGGCATTTGCAGTTCAGTGTGAATTTTAAGCAAGACTGTGCATGTTGAGAGTGTTTAAAGTGCCAAATGATCTTTCTTCTTAAGATTAAATTTATTGGCTTTTTTTTGCCTTTACTGTAGAGTGGATAGAGTTTGAATTCAGAGAGAGAGAGAGTGGGGAATGACATGCGGGAAAGGAGCCAAAGGTCGGGGTAGAACCCAGACCACTTGCTTGGAGGACTATAGACTCTGTACATGGGACCCGCTCACCAGCCGCTATAGGTGCCATGGATTGGCACTGTCAGTATGACAACAATACATACATGACGTCAACATCAGACCCGATACTGATATTAGGTTGGTCCCATCTCTATATACAATCATCATTAGCAGGAACCTTTTGCTCATGGTTTACTATTTTAATTTCTTAGAGTGGTACAAAATTTATCATCTAATGCCTTTGGTAAACTGCTGATTTTTGATCAAATGAGACCTTGACATCAAAGTTTGACTCTTACACCTCTCAACAAGTTGATAGATTGCCATTCAGTTATTGACTCATTTGTGTTCGGTTTTTTAAGTTTTTTTTCACTTTGGTAATCCCTTGTTTGATCCTCCGGTAGCCTACCATCATTATGGTCAACATTTAAATTTTGACAAAAACTGTAACACTCCCTTTTGTGTCAGTGGCTTAGTAGAAATGTTAGGGTTGATCAATTCATAAAACTAAGACGATAAACATGTCAACAAACCTGCTAAACATATGTGTTAACGTTTTAATTGTTAGCTTAATGACACCAGAAAATTGGCTAAATTACCATCTGACTTCCCAACTGCTTGTGGTCATGTGGAAAAAGTGCTGTTTAGTGTTGTGTTTTTAAGGTGTATAGTTTGTGATGTTGCTGTACCTAGTCTAGTACATCAATGTCTTCTGTCCTCTCAGTTCAGTTTAGATTACAACAGGTGTTAAAAACTGGGTGCACACCAAATTACATCGACAAACAATCGACTGCAATGAATGGGCAACATAGCAGTTGGCTGCAAGGCTGGGTTGCTAGTTCAAACATTGAATTAACATCACTTGGTGCAACACAATTCACAAGCATTTGGTATGACATGGTTTTGTGGCAACATCTGTCAGAAATATGAACCAAATATTACTTGTTTTAATATGCAAAAGAAAAGCATCAGAAGCAGACAAAAAAAGGTATGCATGAATAGCAACCATCTCAGTTGCTTACAGAAATGCCTCAATGCTGTTGGAACCTGCAGCGAAGACAAGTGATGAAGGGCCTGACATTAATTAGGCCAGCTGGCAATTTTTCTGAACAGGACGGATCCTAGACAAATCTGAGAGAGCAAATTAAACATGTACTTGCAGGTTAGTCTAGTGTCCAGGCTAGTAAACCTTACCTTGGAAAGCTAATGGGAGTAAAGAGATGGTTTATTGGAATAGAAGCCATTATTTTATTTTATCCACCTATGTGTATCAAATTTACAAAATACGATAACCATAACTGCACTGGTTTACATTTGTATCCAACAAAATGGAGAACAAGCACAAATTGCCTATTTCATCTTTGTTGAGTTTATGATTATTAGTGCATTGTTTAGTGCACATATCTCCAACTTTTGCAAAGTGTGTTGATAAAATGTAAACCAGAACTAGTGTTTGTTATTGCTCATATGAGGGTACTACATCATCATAACAGGGTTTAAGCCATAATAGGCCTTAAGGGCCTGTAATATGACCAATTTTTAGTGTTTCTTATTTCAATAAGCCAAGGGAAATGACAAATTTAAAGGAGTGAGAAAGGGTGAGGCAGAAAGGTGATACAGTGTAATGAACCATACATTGTTATTGCAGCAATTAATCTTAAGCTTCTAATGTTTGCTTAGGGTAAAACAGTAATGTAGAATTGTGCAGAAACAGTTTTAAATGTTATATCACTTGGCTGCAAAGGACCATTGCCTGGAGAGTGGAGTTATTCATTGTTGGCAGATAGGGAATAAAACCCACCACATTATTGATTCTGCCTGATAAATGGGGAAGTTTGATCATGACGTAGTATCTAGTTTACCAATGGTGCAGCCTCTGAACTTGTCCCATATACAGAAATTATTGTGTGCTGTAATGATATAAAGCAAAGTATTTCTGCACGAGGGCATCAGAAAATGTGTTTGATGAAACTTAATCATGACATTTAAGGCATTCCTCTCGTTCTGTCTCAGAAACACACATATTGTAGGCATGAGCATATTTACTTGGCTTCTTCTATTGATCTAAAACAACTTGACAAAACAGAGCCCTTTTGAACCTATTCAAGATGTTAACCATATTGCATGGCCATCTGTTTTTCAAAGTACATTTCAGTTAGCAATCCAAAATCAACAACACAAGCAAGTGACACTTGTTCTATTACGTAAGGCAGATAAAATGCATTTACTTGAGGTTATTCATTCTGATTCTTATAATGTCACCTGTCTTGAGGACATTACTGTGTGCATGCACAGTATGTGTATGATTATCTCCCTGCATATTTGTGTAATGCACTGTTTGGCCAATGGTGATTACTGAGGATTACACTGAGCTGTTTTTAGGCCCTGATGTGCTCTGTGCTTACATGACGGGCTTCCGTCCTGAAATGCTGATTATAACTTGAGACGCGTGTGTGAATACATTCTCAGCAGGTTTGTTTGCATGTTTCCTGTTTCGTCAGGACCTCACCCGAACAGGTTTATAAGGACACATAATACAACTGAGTTCCTCACATGGGAGTGTGCAAGGAAACAAAAATCCCTAAAAGCGTTCTGTCCAAACAACCTTTATATTGAGCATAAATTCCAGCTGAGAGAAAAAAAGGAGCAGCTATGTCAAATAGAGGGCACTACAGTGTCATTCAGAAAGGATTTCTTAGGTGCTATACTTTGCAGTGTTGTGGTGGGGTGGTTCGGCAGTGCAGTGATTGCCAATAACGCTCAAGTGAGGTGAGAGATTTCACTTGGACTAAATTGATTGATCTTCAAATGTTACAGACAGGAGCAGCTGTAGCTATGAATCAGCACAGTGTGTTTCTTTCAAAGTGTGACTCTCAGGTGTTACCTCGCCAGCTCTGGCCTGTGTGGGCGATCACAACAACAAGACAGGCTCTCAGGCTTTTCATCTGTAACTCTTTCATCTCCGAGGTACAATGCAGCTGTTAATTTATAACAGCACATTTAATCTTGTCTAAAGAGGATCTAATCCAAACAGGACTTGATTTGACTAAAATATACATAATCATTCATGCACTTGATAAAAGAGGTACAGATTGTTTTTTGTCTTCAACTAATGTCAAGGCATCACTTTTACCTTGGTCAGATGCAGCACATTTAAGATTCACTCATGGCCATTATTGTTTAATTTGAATAACATGAAATACTGTAGCTGTTTTTTTTTTTGTTTCTTTTTTTGGTGATGGGGGGGTGTCAGGTTCTTAGTTCAACATATTGGCCTGTTTTGTCATTTTTGCCATTTTTATTTTTATTAGACAGGGCAGCTCAGGAGAGGCAGGAAGTGCAGGGAGGAGACAGTAGGGACCTACATGCAGCAAAGAGTCGAGGTCGGATTCAAACCCACAGCCACATGGAGCACTAAACACAACTGCCAGGCCATCAGCATTGCCATTTTGGCCTGTTTTGTTATGGCTGTAGTTGATATTAAAATAATTTTGTCAGCATGAAAGGATGCGTTCATTATATTCACCCCGACGTTTTGTTTGATTGTGTAATGTATAACCTTCTGCTCTGTCTAAGAATGATCCCCTTCAATCCTAATCAAGTACAACTATTCTTTAACTGACACATTTATACAGGAGAAATATTAAAAAAATATAACATCTTTAATAATTACTTTGATTTCTTTCACAAACAGATTTTCACAGACACATTTAGAGTTGCACGGTTGTATAAAAGAGTGTGATGTATCACCCTGAAGCAGTTTTATGAGAAAGAAGTCTGTACAAAATTTGTCTCGTTTGTTGTGTTTTTGCTAAGCAAAATGGCCTTGAAAGGCTTCACAAACAAGATACATAACTGCCAAAAAAGCCTTCACAGAAAGTAGTACATCTGGATACTAAACATGGCTTTCACACATCTTACAATACTTTGAAAAGAAGTGTCTGAACCATAAGCCCATTTATCGGCTTTCCCAGGATTCTTAACCTCATCAATAGTATTACACTAATTTCAGTCCTTTAAAACCAGGCAACAAAAGACAACGATAAGTAATCAAAAGCTTTGAAGCAAACAGTACGTTTTTTAAGGCTGGTCTGTTGTTTTCCATTTAAGAAAAATGATTGTCATACTCCTCAAACAGAACACAGGGCATTTTTGCATAATATGTCAGCATACACAACACAGGTGTAGAAATTGATGGGTATTGACACAGTGAACTCTCCATATGAGTTTTAAAAATTGAACGCTTTCTTTGTCAATCATACATAGTGACTTTACGAATATTGCTAAGTTTGAACAGACTAAGTATTTATGTAATCACTTTCCACACTGTTACTGTGGCAGATAGAGTATAGGACTGCAAATTGATAAAAAATATGAGGAAAGAAAGTCTTAAACTGTTGTTTGTTACAATTCATACCAATGCAAACATTTTTTATATAAACTTGTAAAACATTCAATACAATATATTTATACATAGGACCTTACATTGAGTAATCGTCAAAGAGTTGCTTCTATGACCTTGTAATAAAGCTGTTATTACCTTGAAGCAGTCTCAAAAACTTCTTTACTTTGGTCTTTTGATGCCAAACATCTGATTATGAGTCATGGATCATAAATATAATTGAAGGTAGAATTGGACGTTTGCCTGTGATAATATTGCAGTAATAGCAATCATATGACAAAGGCAGAAAAAGCAACTTCATTTAAGAATTACACTTCTCACAGTGAGTTTTGTAAACATTCATGTAAACAGTGATTTTGGATGTGTGGACAACTCGAAATCAGATATTTGAGATCTGCCTGAGCCTCTTGTTTACAACCTGCATTGAGTCATTCTTCATTTTTAATGGTATCTCCACTTCTGATCTTTTCTTTCGCTGCCTTTTATATCTCTTGCAGCATATGTAAGATGTCAGTGTGACAACTGAGAAGAAAAGCCCCAGACATGTCACTGAAAGAGCAATGAGGACAGGCTGACAGGGGAACAACTCATACCTCTCAGGTCCATCTGTCATCTGCCCAACATACCAGGGCCTTTCCTCTACCTCAATGTCAGCCTCTCTGGTCAGAAGACTCTGGATGTAGCTCTCGTTGCTCACAGTTTCATTTACAAAGAAGTTAACCATAACTGTTGAGTAAAGGGGTTCAGGCTGACCATGATCGCTGACCTTCACCAAAAGGCTGTAGAGACCTCGGTTACTAAGCTCCCTCTTTAAAGTGATATTTCCTGTTTCGGAGTCTATGGCAAATGACCCTGGTTCTCCACCTTTCCTCTTAATGATACTGTAAGCAATCACAGCATTCATGCCTGTATCCTTGTCCACAGCATAGACCTCTGTGATTGATGTCCCTGGTACTGTGTTGGGAAGTACTAGCATGTAAGACTGATTAGACTGGGGAAAGAGGACAATAGGTGGGTTGTCATTTACATCCAACAATAGTACATTCACCATAGTGACGCTTGAAAGTGCAGGCTCTCCACCATCGATTGCCTCAATCCACAGCTGGTATGTCCCTTGTTGCTCACGGTCAAGAGAGGTCCTGGCCCTCAGTGTCCCTCTGCCTGTGTCTATCATAAAAATGTCACTTCCATTGAGAATTGAAAGGGCCACCCAACCATTTTCCCCAGCATCTGCATCCGTTACAGAGAGAACCCCGATCTCACCGTACCCCGGGAAGTTCTCTGGAACAAAGAATGTGAAGTCCTTGTTGATGAAGCGTGGACTGTTGTCATTGCGGTCCTCAACAGTCAGCACCACAGTTGCAATCGACTCTCTCCTTGGTGTTCCCTGGTCAACTGCTCTTACGATGAACCGGTATGTCTCCTTCTCCTCACGGTCCAGCGATGTGGTCACTGTCAGGACACCAGTCACACGATCCACAACAAATATCCCCGGGGCGTCTCCTCCAAGGAGATAGATGACATCCCCTCGGCTTTCACTGTCCGGGTCTGAGGCTTGGAGCTGGGTCAGAAAGGTGTTTGGTGAATTGTTCTCCTCCAAAGACAATTTAACCAAAGACTGCTGAAACATTGGTGCATTGTCATTCTCATCCAATATCTGCACCTTGAGAAAAGTCTTAATGACAAGGTCTCCGTGATTCTTCACAACCACGATAAGCTCATACTCTTGTGTTTTCTCATAATCCAAGGGCTCTGTGGTCTCCAGCAGGTATTCATTTTTTAAAAGCTGGTAGGGGACAAGTCTGAATGGACCAGTCCCTTCCAAATGACAGTCCACCCTTTGGTTCAAATCGATGTTCTTGACAGTAAAAAAAGCAATCGGAGACAACGCTGGCTCAGACTCTTTTATAGTTACTACCCCATCCTTTTCGGATGCAATGTACCTGGGCACGAGTGCAGGGGGTCCAGTTATGACTTTGATGATATGGACAGCAACAGTGGCAACAGCAGGGATACAACCAGGACCATTTGCCAGAATGGTGAGTTTGTAGAATGTGTTTGTGCCAGGGTCTATTTTCCCTGCTAGCTTGATCACCCCTGTGATTCTGTCCAAATGGAACAAGCTCCTGGTCTCCCTTGGCACACGTTCGCTGTAAGCATAGCTGATCTGAGCATTAGCACCAAGGTCAGGGTCAAAAGCATGCAGACGGGCCAAATGTGCCCCTTTGGTTGTATTCCCATGCAGAGTGACGTTAATATGTGACTCTGTGAATCGGGGGCAGTTATCGTTCACATCTGTGATTACAATTTTTAAAGTAGCTGCACCCAGTAGAGGAGGGGTCCCTCCATCCTCTGCGATGATATCTGTGATGAATTCAGCCTGGGTCTCCCTATCCAAAGCCTCTGTGACGATGAGGAAGGGTGTCATCTCACCCCCATCATTGTGTTCAACATCCAGTGTGAACATGCCAAAGTCATTAACAAGCCAGTATGTCTGCACTCCATGAAGACCCAGGTCTGGATCAACCGCAGAGTGCTCCACAGCATAACGAGCATTGATGGGTGTATTTTCTGGAACAGATATACAGATCTCATCAAGGGGAAACTTTGGCCTGTTGTCATTGACATCCTCAACGTATATTTTAACTTTGATGAGCTGGAAGTACTGTTGAGGCAAAATAAACACATCCAGGGAGAGGATACATCCCCTTCCCCCAGAGTTATCAGGACAGAGCGTCTCCCTGTCAATTTCAGTGGCAGATGTGTAAAGCTCTCCCGTGGTATTATTCAGGTTCACGTACTGATCACTGACCTTCTTTTGCGGCAGATTGAATATAAAGGGGGGCTCAACAGTGACGTCCAAATTTAGGTCTACTGCAATGGCCCCTATGAAGGTCCCCCTTGGTAATCCCTCCTTTATCTTATAGATGAGCTCTTTTGCTTGGCTGAAATTTGCAAAACAGGAAAGAGGGCTGGTGTAAAGCAAGAGGATGCACAATCCCTGTAATACAAGATAATTAAAGATATTAAAGTTTAATCAAAGAGTTGCATGATATTATACTAAATAGTATTTAAAAGTGTACTAGTTGCAGGGCTCCTTTAAAACAGGCACCAGTGATTTCAACTGTAATCATTACACTCTACTCCCACAATTATCTCTTTAGCCAATGAAAACAAGATGTGTTAACATTACATTAAGTCCTTCAAAAATTAATCTGAAAGTATAAACAGGACTGTGTAGAAAAAGAGCCATGTAATATTAGCATTAATATCAGCATTTAAAAAAAAACCCACTTGATTTAAAGTTAGTGTATTCTGTCTTGAAAATGAATCATCATAAAACTTACCCAAATTCCTCCTTTTTTTCTAAGGCTGGGGTGTTTGCTGTTGAACATGTTTATGTCCGAGTCCAGCACTTTCCACTCAGAGCAGGAAGAACAGCAGCCTAAGTAACGCAGGCATTTTGAGAGTTGAGCAGCACAGACCTCTGCTGAGTGCTATGCCTTATTGCTATCTGACTTGAACAAGTCATTCATCCCAGTGCTGGCTCAGGACACTCCCACCATATGCAAATCAGCCCCTCATGTTAACCAATGAGAGCCCACGGCCACTGGGAAATCTACTTGAGTTCACAGATTCCTTTTTCATGTGCACTATCAAAGCACATCGTCCCACACCTGCACTTTTCTTTCACACCCATGTTGTCACAAGCAGCTGCATTCCTTGTATTCCTGCGGCAGAATGAAAACATATGATTACCAACTGAGCTTATGATGACACGAGAGACTAAGCAAGATGTTAAATATCCACAGTAGAGGGATTACTTTAATCCAGCATTAGTTAAAAATCACTGCTGAAAAAAAAAACACTACAGAATGAATTGAAGCAAATGTTTTATGATATAATGATGATGATTTTTTTTACAACACCTAAACCTTGCCTGTTTTGTTTTTTTGGATACATGGATTGATATGTTGATTCAGTGCAGCTCAAACCGGGTTTTGCTCAGTTTGCAGTCATTGCAAACACTAACAAAACTGTGAAATGATTTTAATGTTTAGTCTAGTCTTGACAATAAATGCATAACAATAATTGAAACTGTGCGAAAATATAATAAACCAAGCACAGAGGTGATCTTGGCATCATAAGTGGTGCGATGGTCTGATTCTGGATTGAGCCTTTAACTAAATCAACCCCCTAATCCTCATGTGTTCTAAATGCCGGGCCAGCTGTTTGTGGGGATTGGAAGCATACTGCTCAGAGAAATTGAGTGATTGAAGTTCTCTGGTAAAGGGCGGATTGAGACAGTCACACACTCTCATTTTGTCTCACACTGCATCACAAGTGCCTGTTGGAAAAGATAATAACAGCATCTGAGCATTATGCCTTTCCTTTAACTCATGGTCACATCATATTAACAGACAAAATCATTATTTTCTATGAGACAATATGTGTGAACTGTATTTTTTAGTGACAGGGCTAAACAATATTTTGCTTTGAATAATCTACAAACCCATTATACATTCAGTAATCAGAGTATTTCAAGTATGTCCTTAGTTCAGAAATATTTCTGAAAACACAGACATCAGTGAGAGTGGGCTGGAAGGCTGTAGAGCGTGGGAAAGCTGCAGATGAGGGAAATGAGAGTCATTTGAGAGCTGCCTTGAGGTGCAAAGTCTGAGGTGTTCGACTACAGATCATCAGTGAGGATATGGCCAGAGCAGAAGCTTTAGATCAGTGGTACTCAACTATTGGGTTGTGGACTTGTTTACAGTTGGTCGCAAATTACATTGTACCAGAAATTGCTAAGTTGTTTCAGACATTTTTATTGTGTTACTTCTCTTTGTTCTTTCACGTTTTCCATCTGAGGTCCAAACTGCACCATTTTTCATTAAATAAATCTGACTAGTTTAAAAATATCTAAAATTTGGGTCCTGAGTTGGTAATGGGTCCTGAGTCGAGACCAGTTGAGAGCCACTGCTTTAGAAGACACAAAATAAACATTTTACAAATATAAAGTTTGGAAGGACAGTATATCTGTTTAAATCCATTACTATGTTGTTGAAAATGATCGGTGTTGTAATTTAAGTTGGTATTTATTGTTTTATTGATTATTGATTGGGTTTTCAACCTTTTTTTTGTTGCATATAACAGAATAATAATGCCTACGGCCGATACGCTACTTTTTCAGATATCATTACAGTTTGAGACTTGCAGACAATGTGAGTCCTAGAGGGCTTGAAATGTTCCTGCACAGGTTTTAAGAAAAAAATATTCATTTTAATTGGGTAAATGTGTCCAAATTACCAAGTAGGAATAATGTAGAGTTGCAAATTTTGTCTAACAGGGTTCTAGAATACAAAATTCACTTATCTCAGACCACATACTATTTCAACCATGTCATATGTTACAGGATATTATTTGCAGTGCATTATTCATTTGGTTCCTTTACAAGGAGTTTTAACATAAAGGCCAGTGATGCCGTGCTTCTGTCAACTTGATACCATGACCTCTTTGTCTGCTAAGTCCCCAGGAGTTCCATGTCTACTCAATATCAAATTGCCAACTCCCAACATGTTACAGTATCATACACATTATGCTGGAGGAGAGAAAAAAAATGCGTTGATATGTAAACTTATTTCTGGGCCAACAAACATATTTGTACAACATGAATTTCCTTTTCTGTTTTTTAAATCTATAATGTGACCTGTTTCCTGTAAATCTGACACATTTGTTTATCTTCATTTTTCTCACAATATCTTCATTACGTGCCTGAAAACATTGTTATTCTGTTTGTTTTATTTCCTCGTTAGTAATATGCACTACTTTAAGTGAAATTAAAGGAGCAACGTGTAAGATATCTACTGAATTTAATCATGAAATGACTTCACTATATCAATAAGGGAACATGCTATGTTGAAGTGCTGGCTTCTCTGATGACAATACAGAAGCCGATATGTCCTCCTCCCAAGTTTCGATTACAATTTAAGAAAAGGTGTTTGTTTTGAACAGAGAAGGTAGCCGCTTTTAAGGTAACCCCCCACGGCCGTTTTGGATGTCCCTCGGTTTGCCAGATATGAGACCAGTCATCATGGCAGATCAACAGATGTTGCAGCGATGGACTCGGAAAGCAAACTGATTCAGATATAACTGATTCTACCTGAACTTTAAGGCCGCTGCATTTTTCTAAGACAACCAGAAAAGTGGTTAAACTAGGATAAAAATGGAGACGTTTTAGAAAAATGGCAGATGCACATTGACTCGAAGGAGGAGAGGGTGGGGAGAGACAGGTCTCTCCAATGATTTGAATTTGGACTGCAGTACCAATTTGAAAAGCTATGTGATGCATTGCTTCTTTAACAGCTCTGCAACTTGTCAAATGTATAATATCGCTTAATGTATTATTTTCATGTGAAATCTTAATTTTGCTTTAGTACGTGTAAATTGTCTTTGCAAGATAATACGAAGGTTAGACGAGGACAAGAGGCAGTATCACTTTGTTCTTTATTACATCATTTGCTGCTCTGAGTGTGTGAGAGATGACGCTGGGTAATCCAAGCCCAGATTTCCTAACAGATGTCCTGTTAACCTCGGTTTTTTTCTTTTAATCAAAGTGCTTCTAAGCTATCTTGATAGCTGCGAAACAGCTCCATAGCTGTTATGTAAGATGGATATTACAACACAAAAGTATCGTGTCAAGAGAGTGGGCGGCTGTGGCTCAGTTTGTAGAGTCGTCGCCTCTCAACCAGACGTTTGAAGGTTCGATCCCCAGCTGAGCAACATGTCCGATGTGTCCTTGGGCAAGACATTGAACCCTACATTGCTCCCGCTGCTTCGGTGGCGGTGTATGACTGGATTAGTGTTGTACTTACTCTCTGATGTACGTTGCTTTGGATGAAAGCGTCTGCTAAGTGAATTTTAACATTGTAAGACACACAGTAGCTTGAAAACTGTAGTTGGGGAACCACTGACTAACCAGTGTTTCCTCTATACTGGGATGATTACTTTTTGCCTTAACAGAAGTTTTACAATATACTTTTTGTGGAAATGTGCCAATTTTACATATTGGACATCAGATTTTTTTATATTACCAAACTGTGCCAGCAGTAGTTTTCCAAGAATTAAATTGCTCATGCACCTGGAAAAATATATCACTTTTTAAAAAATGGAAAAAAAACAATATGCAAAAACAATGGGACTACTCATTTATTAATGTAGTTTCCTTAAGGGCTATTCTGTACTGTGTGAGAATTCTGTGATTCTTTTTGACCTGGCCTTGGTCAGTCTCCAATGTGCCCATTGGTGTAATTATGTAAATGTTTCTGAACACTGAGGAGCTGCTCTGTTCTCTTAATTTAAAAAGCCAGATATGTGATAGATTGTATGTGACATTCTGTACAAATGAGCAAAATGCTCCTTTGACTGTAATTTCTGAAAATGCCAAAACCATGAGCCATTAAATTCAGTTAGTTATTGAGCCAGCTGGAATCCCTGCCTCTAAAGTGTTACACAGTTCCAGAAATATTCATTACAGCTGTATTATTAGTTTTAATGAAATGTCTGTAGAATTGCCTTTTGGCAGATCAATGTAGTTAAATCAGAAATGCTTGTTTTATAGCATCTAATTAATCAAACCTGCATTTCCTGTTTATCATAAAACAATAATTGCCTCAAATCAACCACAGATTTCAATTTAATGGAGTATTACACAGCACACTGTTCAGTGAGGATGCTCAGAGCAGAAACTTCATTTAATTCTCAGGTTAGAGCTGAGAGAAGGCTAAGATGTCTTCCAAAAACATTTTCAAATTACTTTAAATTGATTTTCTTTTTTTTTTTTTTAAAGTTGTTCAAATTAAAATAAAACATAGTTCTTAAGTGTGCTGAAATGAAAGTTATGTGTAAAAAAAAAAAAAAAAAAAAATCCCTTAAATGTAAGTTTGCACAAGACTGCAACAATGTATGTGTCTGTTGCTCTTTGTAAAGATAAATGCACACACTGAATGCCAGTGTTTGCATGGGCCTATTTGTGCATGCGGCTGTGCGCAACATTAACCACTTTTAGTTCAGGCCTTGCAGTACCTGTATGCATAATCGGCATTATTTTGCATAAAGATTCTCTGTCTTGACAAAGTCCCAGTATTGACTTTTAGCACCAAGATGGGCTCATATAAGAAGATATATGGCTATAAATAACCAATCCACCTTCTTCACTCTGGCTTGGAACAACATTTTCCAGCCCGTTGCACTTTGGTGGGCATGAGCCAGACTGCAGCTGCATCCCTCAGTATCAAGCGGGCAAAGAAGTGAGGCATTTTTAAAATGGGACAGCGTGTTACTAGGGCCAGTATTTTCTACATCTCTGAACAGAAATAATGAACTTTTCTCAGTGCAATGTGTGTACTGGTTTACTGTAATCTGTGAAGTCAGCCATGGGTGTTCTTGCTCTGTCACTGCCATCTACTGGATGAATTGTCACAAAGGACGAA